TGGGTTAGGAGGAGTGAAGTTCCTTATGAGTGAGGATAGTGGTTTCCTCTGGTGGCTGGGAAGGGGGCTGTGGTCCTAGAGGACCCAGGAAGTCCTAGAGGACCTAGAGGTCCCAGGGAGATTTTGGGGTGTGCTCTATTCCCCCTGAGGGGGGTGCTGATTTCATGGGGGTTTGCTATGTAATTATGCATCAAAAATGTACCTCTAAATTTTATGCACTTTCTGTATGAATGGTGTTTCATACAAAAAATAATAATAATGATGTCGCTAACAGCAAAGTCAAGGCTGGAGCCCAGGTCTTTGGACTTCCATATTGTGGCTTTTTCATCCTTGGTGACAGAGGTCAGGATACTGGCTATATCTGGTGTACCAATAAGGAGAGGGTACCAGAGACCCTGTTGTGACAATGGAAACCCTCCACAACTTGATCGAGGTGGCAGTCATACACGTGTACACACAGGTAGAACTGCACCGATCTGTGCACTTAAGATTTGTGAACTTTGCAATGTGTCATACCTCAACAAAAAGAAACAAAATTAAAAATACAACATGTAATTAAATGATATCATGTCTGGGATTTGCATTAAAATAACAGAGGAAGTGAGGAAGTGGGTGGAGGTGTAGATGAAATGCAATTAACTGTGAGTTGGCACCTGGTAAACGGGTACTCTTCTGTTCGCTTCTGTATTTTAAAGTTTTCCATGATAAAAAGGACAGCTAGCTAACTAGATAGATAGAACAAAAACCCGTTGAATTCACAGAGATCCAGGCACTCCCTCCCTTCAGGACTCCGATGCCTACCTTCTCTAGGTGATCCAGATGCTCCAGGACCTGGGCCATATACACGACGGTGCCCTTTTTAAAGACTCCTCTGCCCTCCCCAGCTTAATGGAAGTGGGAACCCAGGTCAGCACCAAGGACAGATCCAAAGCATTGGGTCTCAGAACCACAGACAGCAACTCAATTGGGGGACAAAAGATAGGGAAATACGGAAGTGACACCCTTCCCACCTCCAGGACAGTGTAGAATTGAAGGCGAGCCCATCAGAAGCACAGAACCATCAGAACAAGTGCATTCTTTCACTAAATATCCATCGAGCATCTCCTAAAAGCAGGCACTGTTCTGAACACTGGAATGGCAAGATCTCTGTTCTAATCAATCAGAAGAATAAGAGGGCAGAGTCATTTAGATAGTTCTAAGTGCCATGATAAAGACAAACAATGAAATGGGATACAGGGTTATTTATGGAGCCAGAGGGGCCTATTTTTGGAGAGGAGGTCGGGAAGAGACTATATTGAGCAGAGAAGTGGATGAAGTGAGGGAGTGATTCACGAGGAGACTGGAGGTGAAGGGAAAAGCGGGTGCCACGGCCCTGAGGCAGGAAAGAGCTTGGCACGTTTGAGGATAAGCAAGAAGCTCAGTGCCATGGAGCAGAGCGAATGGAGGAAAAAGTTGCAGGAGAGGTTTGGGCACGGTTGCAGTATACACACAGAAAGAGACAGAGAAGGAGAGACAGGAAAATGTGAAAGACAAGGGGAGACCGAAAAAGTCAAGAATCAGAGGCAAAAAGATGAAGCAAAATGATACTAGCTGCAAGCCAGAGAGTGCAATTTCTATCATCTATTCCATGACCTATTTCTATATGTTCTTATTCATATACAAATGCTTTTGTTATGGAAAACTTCAAACACAAAAGTGAACAGAAGAGTATAATGTTTATTGTTATTACTGTGAAACAAACCATTCCAAAGTTTAGTGTCTTAGAACAAAAAGTGTATTATTTGTCATGATGTTGACAGTGGATGGGGCACTTCTGCTGGTCTCTCTGAAGGTTACTCACGTGACTGTATTCAGCAGAAGCTTTGAGTTCTCTTAAGAACTGGACTTGGAACTAGGCCAGCATCATTTCTGCTATATCCTATCAGTGAGGTAAGTCACAAGCCAGCCAGCTGGAAAGAGAAGGGACGCAGAGTGGGAGAAGCCATACGCCAGCACAGAGAGCGAAGGGGTTATTGGCGGCCAGCTCGGGAGACAATGGACCTCAGTGCTTGACACGTGCCAGGTCCTGTGTTGAGGGCTCTGGACATCTCACCTAATCCTCAAGCAGCCCTATGACATAGGCATCATCATCCCCACTTTACAGGTGTCACAGTGCACCCAGCTAGGAAGAGCAGAGCTACACATACACTCAGGTCTGTCTCTGAACCAGGCTGTATGTGCATTATATCCCACACAAAAATAACATCAGTGGCCATGTCGAGGCCTGAACCAAGGTCTCTAGTCTCCCAGACTGAGAGAGAGCTAGATAATTTAATGTAATGACATAGATAACGTTTAACTGTTGGAGAACACAGAGTTACAAAGGAGAAAATAAACAAAAACAGAGAAAGAAAAAGGAGAAAGGCAAAAGGCATGTACTTGGAGACAAAGACCAGGAGACAGAAACTAAGAAGGCCAGTGAGATAAGAACTGGACCTGGAACTTGGCCAGCATCATTTCTGCTGCATCCTATTGGTCAGAAGGACTCACGGAGCCACAACAAAAATGAGAGAGAGATAGACTGAACCGCGAGACTCCCTTTAGCCTGGAAGCTCCATGAGAAAAGGGGTTTTGTCTGTTTTGTTATTACTATACCCTCAATGCTTAGAACAGTACCTGGCACTCAGTAGGTGCTCTATATATGCTGACAGGAAACTAGGCTAGACAAGGAGGGCCTGCAGTTCCCAAAGACACCACTAAGTGGCAGTATCCTGATGCCCTGAAGCCACCTAATGCCTAAATCCAGAAGACTGCGGGGAGGATTTGCCGCCACAGGCCTCTGACTTTCAGGATGTCATGCCCCCCTCCCCCAGGCTTAGCCCCACCTTCCCCTCCAGGAGCCCTGGGCGACGAGTGACCTTTCCGCCTGAGACACCCTCTTTTTCACTCCTCTCTGCCACCCTGCCCAGTTAAACAACCCTTTGTTCTTAGCCCCTTCCGGCTGGGCCCCAAGGCACCTGGATCCTTTCCAGGCCCGGAGATGGGGTTGGGACAAAGGTGGGGCAGCTGGGACGAGGCCAAGGAAAAGTTCCAAGGCCTTCGGAATCAGTTTTTCTGGTCTTCCTGGACCAGGAGTCAGGGCCTCTAGCCCCTCCTCCACCAGAACCAGAAGTCCCGGCCCCCCGGCCCCTCCTCCCTCAAGCCAGGAGTCTGGTCACCCAGTCCCTCCTCCCTCCAGACCCAGGAGTCCAGGCCCCCAGCCCCCAGCTCCCTCAGACCCAGAAGTCCGGGACCCCAGTCCCCTCCTCCCTCAAACCAAGAGTCAGGCCCGGCCCCCTCCTCCCTCAAACCCAGAAGTCCTGGCCCCCAGAGTCCACACCCCCAGTCCGCTCCTCCCCTCAAAGTCCGATGCAGTGGCCCTGAGCCCCCTCCTCTCTGGACTAACCTAGGCATCGAAGTCCTGGTGTCCCGCCTCCCTCTCTCTCACAGAGACCCCTCTCTCCCTCCACTCCCCTCTCCAGGATCGAGACTAAGGCTGAGTCACAGGAAGCTCTGGGGCCTTGAGTCACCCCCACCGCCCAGCTCAGCCCCTCCCTGGGCTGGAGGGAGCTGGCTCTGCAGCCATGTGTCCTACCAACTGACCCCACGGCCCCGGACTTCAGTTTGGAGGCAGGTGTCCTCATCGCTGGGAGCCCACCCTGGCACCTCCCATGTCCGGCTTATGCTCTGTTTTTCTATTTTAGTTGTGGTCTCTTTGAAGACAAAATTTCTCTGCTCTAACTTCCATGTCTTGCTTCTGGCTTCTGCTTCCTCTTCATGTTTTGATCTCTTCTATCTCTTTGAATTTTTAAAAAAATCCTCCTTCTCTCTCTCTCTTCCTTCTCTGTCTCGCTCTCTCTCCCTCCCCTCTGGCTGCACCACTCAAGGTCTCTCTGCCTCTGTCTCTCTGTGTGTGTCAGTTTTCACGGTGCCTGCACTCCAGGGCACAGCTGTCAGGGGGCCGGAGCTGGAGGTCTGTTCCATGGCCTCTGGCGCTCTCGGGGGGGGCCACGGGCTCTGTGTCTCTGGCCCTTGGCCCCTACGTGGGGCTGGGTGGCACTGCAAGGGGCAAGGCTGTCCCCAGTTGTGCCAATGACCAGGAGACAGAAACTGAGGCAGAGACAAGTACGGAGAGGCCTAGAGAGACATAGACAGAAAATGAGACAGAAAAGACACAGATGACGATGAACACAGAGGAACACAGAGGCAGAGAGGCAGCGACAGAGAGAGGATGAAACAGAAAAACAGAGAGGGACACGAAGTTGGAGACGGAGACAGAGAGACCAAGAGAGACATAGAGACACAGGGGCCCAGGGAGGCAGAGGCAGAGAGCGAGCCAGAGAGAGAAAGGAAACAGACAAACGGGCACAGAGAGCCAGAGATCCTTAGAGAGGGAGACAGAAGAGGTGGAAAGAGACAAAGGCAGGTAGGAGGGAAAAACAGACAGAGGAAGACAAATGGAGACAGAAAGATGGACCCAGAGGCTTCCAGAGCAGGGGAGACTAAGAGAGGAGGCCCTCAGAACCGGGAGGAGAGGCGCAGAGAGACCGGTGCCAGGCCACAGAGGCGGCGGGTGGCAGGGGTGCCAGGCGCAGCCTTGAGAGTGCCCAGCGGCAGCGTTTTCTCTGAGCGACACTCGTGTGGCGTCTGGGTGCGCCCGGATGTGCCTGTCACTCTCCTGCTGTGTCTTACCCCGCGCGGGAACCCCACGTGTGCCACGGAGCCGGGTGCCGGCGCAGGTTGTGTTTTTGTCACTGGGCGTGTCTGTGTGTGCGGTTTGGTGTCCCTGGGTGTGTCTGTGTGGGCTGTGTTGGTGTGTTGCCAGGCCTGTCTGTGCGTGTCTCATTTCCCAATAGCTGGCGGGTCCATGTTCCTGCATGGCATGTGACACGGGAGGGTAAAGGGGTGATGTCTGTGTGTTCCCCCAAGAGTGGCTGTGTCATGAGGTCGGTATGTAACGCTGTGCGAGGTCTTGTGCCACACCAGTGTGTCCTCTGTGTTGCTATAGGAGGGTTTTGATCTGCGTCTAACGGAACGGTGTCACTTCTGTGATGTGGCACGTAGTCATACCTTACACTCTGGGATCCCCGTCACCGTGCATCGCCCTGCGTTGCATTTGCTGTTGTGCGTCAGTGTGTGTTGTGTCTCTTTCTGGGCACTGTGTGTGTAGAGTCGTGTACCATTCAGTGATATGACCCTATGTCTCACGTTGAGGCGTATGTTCACGTTGGGGGCCTCTCCTTTTTCCGCCAACAACACAGCCCGGGGACCCACACTCAGAGTGTGTTGTGTTTGTGCAGTTGTGTATTACATTGTGCTGGAGGGTGTCCCCGGTGTCGTGTGGGGTGTTGTATTGGCTGTGTCAGTGGGTCACATCTGCTGTTTCATGTGGTGTTTGTCAAAGGTGGTGCTGGGAAATGTTACGTCACTGTGTTTGTGTATTTCTCTGTACGTGTCGTGTTTGTGTGGCCATGCGAGCCGGCCATGTGTGGCTGCTGCATGTGGTGCTCAGGTGTGGCTTTTCAGTGCCTTTGCATGGTGCACGTTTTACTTGTGCGCACACTGCATCTGGGCATCGGGGTCCACGTGGCCTGCGTCCCCTCCTCACCCTGCCCCCCAGGGCACCATTCTGGGCTGTGTCCTGTGCGATGTGCCAGAATGTACCATCGTGTCTTACTCTGGGCGTGCGCTGCTTGGGATTGTGTGTGTGCCGCTGCCTGTGCCCGTTCACACTGTCCTCTGACCACACCTGGAATGGCACTGTGTACCGGGGTGTGTGGTGTCAGGGTGAATCTCTGTGTGTTGTGAATTGTTCTATGAGAATGTATGTTCCAGTCACCGTGTGCATGATGTATGTCTGTGTGCATCTCTCCGTGTGCTGGGTGACTGGGGACTGCTCTGGGTGTGTCCGCGTGTGTCAGGTGTCATTCCATAGGTGTGTAATGTTTGGGACTCCGTGAGTGCTTTGTTTACGTAGATATGTTTTGTGTGGCAGTCGGGCATTGCTATGTCAAACATATTGTGTGTTTGTGGAACACAGGATGTGTTGTGCTCGTGTAGCTATGGATGTGCATCGCCCGTTGTGTGGCATCTGGGTGTGGTTGTTTGTGTCAGAGATTGTTGTGCCCGTTTTGACTGCAATATTTGTGCCTATGCGTGGGCAATATTTGGTGGCCATGTGTGCCACGAGGCACCGCCTGCCTTGCTGAGTGCCGGCGTGTGTGTCACATCATATGTGTGGTGTCTGGGTGTGGCTGTGGGTTTCAGAGCTTGTCGGGAGTTGTGAGTCACCCAGTGTAGGTTGTGTTGTGTGCCCATGTGTATTAGGTCCTGTCTCCGGCCATGCTGTGTGTGAGGGTGTCCCGTGGTGTATGGGTGTGGCTGAGGGTAGGTGTGTATTATACAATGCAGACCGTTGTGTGTGACCATTGTCAGTGTGTCTTTATCCACGTGGATGCATGCCTCTTCCTTGCTCTGCCCCAAGACACACCCCAGCCCCTCCTTAGTCTGAGAAGGGGGGGTTGGGGAGCCTCCCCTCTGCCCAGGGGCCTCCCCAGCCCCTCCCTGCCCTGCCCAGCCGTCACCACCCCCCAGAGGGCACAGGCTCTGCTGTGCCTCAAAGCAAGAGCCCCAGAGCAAGTGAGCAGAGCAGGCCAACGACCTGCAAGACACAATGGCTGCTCTTTGCGTGCTGCGAGGTGGGGAACCCTGGGCAGGAAGCTGGCTGAGCCCCAAGACCTCGGGGGCCACGGGCGGGAAGCTGGTGACGGGCCTGGGGGCCCTGCGGCAGCGAAAGCGCCTGCTGGAGCAGGAGAGGTGGCTGGCTGGCTGGGCGCTGACGCTGGCGGTCATTGGCATCGGGCTCATGGTACTGCACGCGGAGATGCTGTGGTTCGGGGGCTGCCCGGTGAGTGGGAGCTGGGGGCCGGGACTCCTGGTCCGAGGGAGGAGGGAGGAGGGCCCGGGAGAGGAGGGGCTGGGGGCCTGGACTCCAGTTCTGAGAGAGGTGGGGACTAAGGGCTAGGACTGCGACTGCTGGTTTGAGGGAGGAGGGGGCTGGGGACCAAGACTCCTGGGTAGGAGAGTGGAGGAGGCTGGGGGCTGGATTCCTGGGGGCCCTCCACCAAAGGAAGGGAAGAAGGGTCTCAGCGTCTCAGTCGTGAAGGTATTGCAATTAGACAGCTGGAGATCCAGGATCCCCAGAGGTGGGTGGGGGACTGGGAGTCAGGGACTGGGGGTCGGGAGGGTAGCTGATCAGATACTGGAGTCTCCCAAGAGCAGATTGGGGGGGGGCGGTAACCCCAGGTTCATTGAAGGGAGGGTGGGAGAGAAACTTACTTCTTCCAGTAGCCAGCGGCTCCTTGGTCTTTATCTAAACTGACGCTTACCCACTGCTTCAGTGGCGGCAAATGGCAGAGGTCAGAAGAAACTGGCTGGGGTGGGTGTGGAAAATGGAAACGTGCGCATGCACGCGCACACATACGTGTGTACTCCCTCTCTGTCTTTCTGTCTCTCTGTCTCTGTCTCTATCATTAAGAAGCTCAACTTTCCAGAACCTACACGCTGTGTAGTCTGGGAAATAATGGAGGGTAGACTTACTGTACTGTCTGTCCCTGCTTCCCAGGGGAGGATGGGGCTGAGAGCCCAGGCTCTCGGATCTGAAGAAGGTGGCTTAGAGCATCTTAGGGGGCAGAGGGGCTGACTTTGAGGACAGCGTGAGTGGAAAGAGAAAGGGCAGGTGGGGCCAGGACAAGTCTGAGCAGACTCCCGGCACATTACAGCGCTGGTCGGCGTGGTTGATGGGGCAGATGAAGGGCATGGGTCAGAATCGGTGGCTTGAGGACAACGGAATTGCTCAACAGGAAAGGAGGCGTCGAGACTTATCTGGGCTAAGGGATGTGGAATCGGGCTGCTTGGGGGCACTGATGTGAGGATTGTGTTGGGGGGATTCCTGGAGGAGGGAGGCTCAGCCTTGGATTTGGGGCTGAGAGAGGCAGGCAGCTCTGAAGTGACCAGGAGCCACACGGTGGGTCAAGGCAGGCCAGTTTCCTCTGGCCGGGGGGCCGAGGCGAGGGCAGCCGGCGCTGAGGGGGAGGGGCCCCGAAGCTTATGCCAACAGGAAGCATGGCCAGGGCCTGACCGCCGCTCCCACGCTCCAGCACCCCGCCCAGGAGGGGAGGTGAGAACATGAGAATCCTGGCAGATAGGAAGGGACAAGGGGCTCACTCCTACCTCCCCCCTCAGCCTCTCCTCTCTCATTTCTTCCTTCCCCCCACTAGGTATCAGGCTGCTGCCTCCAGCAGTAGGACTCTGGGGAAGCTGCTCTAGCTCACTGAGCCTCAGTTTCCCCATCTGTAAACTGAGGGTGAGGGTTGAAATACATGACCTTAAGGCTCCTCTTCAGCTCCCTTCCTATGACTGCCTTGATAACCCCCCTGTCCTCTCCCCACTTCCACCTTAATCTAATGAACTTATTTCACAGGGACCTAGACACCTGCTTGCCAGGGGGAGGGGCTGGAGGAGAGGCAGGTGCCAAACCCAGGAATGCAGGGGAGTGAGACAGATACCAGAGGGGGAGCAGGAAAAGTAGAGACCACCAGAGAAGTGGACTGCAGCGGGGG